TTCTATCTTTAAACATATCCCTGCTAAGCAAAATTAGTTTACTTAAAGGTGTATAAATATAGGTAGATAGCTGCATACTTAGCTGATAGTTTATATGGGAGTAGTGTATATGGTAGTGAAACACAGAAAGTGGGACAACGGGTGGAAAGAATAGGGAGATGGACACTAGCACAAAACATAAAACAAACAAAACTCAACACTCAAATCAACTCTCTCTAACCCCAATGTAAACTCTAACCCTAGGCTAGGTTTACTATCTAATCTAATCAATGTTCGTGTTCAGCGCACGTGTTCGGGGGTTCCAACTAAAGTATATGGCTGCTCTAATTGTCGTTGTTCAAATGTTACATGTTTAGCAGAAAAACCAGCTTTGGGTGGCGCTGCCCCGAAGCTCGAAGATGGATTACAGGCGGCGCAAAAGTGGGAGGGGCCGAAAAATAGGCTGAGAGGGTAATGTTGAGAGGGGTTATAATGATGAGGTGGTGGAGGAGGGTCGGGTGTTTGCGGAGGTATACGTAGAAGGCGTCAGATGACCACCGCCCAGCCACCTGGATAATGTGTGGGAGCGCTCCGTCTTCTGCTAGGGCTATTGCCCCGCCAGCCCTGAGTGACTGGCCGGCAATGTTAGGGTCGGCGAATAAATATTGTAGGCGTCGGATAAACCAGGCCCAGCTGTCACATCACATGCTCCCCTTACAGCGCAGGAGGGTGACGTCGGAGTTGTCTTCGGAGATGCCGTGGTCGGGTTGACAGGAGAGAGCATCGGGACGGCCCATCTGGCGACCTGGGACATGGTGCAGTGTGAAGTCGAACCTAGAAAGGTACAGCGACCATCGGGCTTGCCAACAATTAAGGTGCTGCGCCTTTCGGAAATACTCCAGGTTCTTATGGTCAGTCCAAATCTCGACTGGGTGCGCGGCGCCCTCAAGGAAATGCCGATACTCCTCGAGGGCGCAGATTATCACATCTCCTTGTCATAAATCTCGTAGTTGCGCTGGACATCATTTAAGCTCTTGGAATAGAACGCTACAGGGTGCCACTTCCCGTCTGGGCCGGATTGTTGTGAAAGAACCGCCCCCATTGCATAATCTGAGCTGTCTGCTTCAAGTCGGAAGGGCCGAGAGTCGTCCGGGATTGCTAAGACGGGCTCTGAGACGACCGCGTCTTTGATGGCTTGAAAGGCAGCGGCTTCGGCGTGGGAGCCATAGGCGTTATATTTTTACAAATGCAACTAGCTACAGCTAGCATAACGGTTGTCAAATACACTGAGCAGGGCTTTTTGTCACATATGTCACATTCCTTCAAAGGCTGTTATTAAAGCCCCAGCGAACGTCGAGTTTGGTGAAGTAACGGGCACCCTTAAGTCTGTTGATAAGGTCATTAATCAACGGAAGGGGGTACCGGTTCTTAATCGTCATTGCGTTGAGGGCGCGGTAGTCCTGGACAAACCGAAGTCCTCCGTCCTTCTTCTTAATGAAGAAGATAGGGGAACCCATCGGAGATTTCGAAGGGCGAATGCGGCCTGTAGCAAGCCCTTCCTCGATAAACACCTTGAGTTCTAAAAAACCCGGACCGTTCGCTGTCATGGCACCTAGATAGCAGCACACATCTTCGATGTCCCGAGATTCGGGGGCCCAACGAGTGTACCAGTCGGAGATCCGCGTCCGCTGATTGGATGTGGGAAGTGCGGGCTGATGCGGCTGAGGCTATGAAGGAGGCACAAGATGCGATGAAGAGATACTACAATCGCAAACATACCCCCGAACTACAAGGTGTACCATCAGGAAACAAACCTGACCAGTGATCGGCCCTTCAAGAAGCTGGATGATAAGCACTTCGGGCCGTTTGAAGTCAAGCGAAAAGTCGGAATGACCTTGTATATACATATTCGAGCAACATTCAAGTTCAAAGCTGGGGCGTAGCCCCAGCCCTGTCTAGTGCACAATAAGGATGTCCTCAAGGTCAATCATGACTTCCCCTAAGAGGATAAGATCCTGGAAAATGTCACTCATCATCATCTGGAATGTCTTCAAATTAAGCAAAGTTGAAAGAGAACGACAGAACTGGAATCAAAACTGTAAATATTTACTGCCATGCCGCCGCCTCAAGCCACAAGTGTCTGCAGGATAGGTATTTTCAACATCTTGCATGCAGCATGTCTGTTGTGACAGCGTCATCACCGTGACTACACGGATATATAGACAATCCAAAGACTTCCCTGAGGTATCAATAATCATTGTTCGGATCTCTTCAAACAGTCGTGTATTTGGCAAGAGGGGTATCACAGTCATATAAATCATGGTAAATACAAACAGTATACGAACTTGAATACAATTAATCTGTACGACGAACCAACACAAGTCGGATCAGACGGAGCCTAGCGGTACCGAACCGAGTCCATTCCCGGCCGCTCCGGGAAGCGTTCAAGCTGCGGGAGGAGCGGCGGGGCGGTGGGGAACGAGGGAGACTGCGGCTGCGACGTGGGGTACGCGTAGGGGGCAGGGTGGGGCTGCGGCCGGCGGTAAATCATGCCAGATGCGATGGAGGCGGGGGCGCGGCGGCGGGCTGGGCTGGGCGTGGGAGTATGTGTGATGGACCTGTGTCGCGTGGGCGGAAGCTGGCACTCCGTAAGCCGTTGGAGAGGAGGGGGATGATTCCCAGCGCCGGCTGGCAGGGAATAGCTCGTGCCGGTGGGTCAGCTCGTCGTAGCCGCTGGTATAGTCCATTCCGGGGAACCCGGCGTAGGCCGACCCGGCGGACGTCGGGGGGGAGGAGAAGTACATCGCTGAGCCGGGGGGAGGACATGCTGGCGGTGCTTGGCGGGGACATATAGCTGCCGTGCGAGGACGGCTGCTCGAGCCCCATGCCCAGACTTAGCGCCATGTTGCTGCGACTGATGCGCTGCTCGCCAATATGCCGGCCGTAGCGTGTGGACGCCATCTCGCGCGCTTCGGCCTGGAGGCGTAGCAATACGTCTGCGCTGTCCTCGTCGCGCTTTGCAGGCGGGGCCGAGAGTGTTATCCGGTCGGCCGAAAGGCTGCGCGGTTGGTGCAGATTGTGTGAGAAGTCGGTGCTGCTGCCGTGGCTACTGCTGGGGGGCGAGTTATAAGGGTGAAGCGTGACTGTCTGGGAAGGGGGTGTGGGCGATGGTGAATGCGCCAAACCCGGCGACGAAGACGACGAGTTGAAGCCGCTCATCACGTGGAGCCCACCGGGGACGAGGGTGTCCACAGTGGCGACGCGCTGGACTCTTGTCTTGCGGCGCTTCTTGTGTGGCGCCTGCCGGCGAAGCTCTTCCGGGTCCCGGATGTCGAAGTGTAAGCGGTAACTGGGGCTCGGTCAGCCCAACGCCCACAGGAAAAAAGGGGGGAGTCAACGCACTGCTGTCTCAGGTTGTCCTTGCGCGAGCAGCGGGTCGTGCAACCAGGGAAGGAGCAGACAAAGTTCATCTCGCCTGTGTGCACGCGCACGTGACGCGAGAGATGTCCGCTTGTGGAAAAGCTTTTAGCGCAGTATGCACAGCGGTGGGTCTTGCTCGGCCCCGTCGAGTGCGGCGGCGGGGACGGCGTTGACGAGGTGGAGGTTGTGGTGAAGGAAGTAGGCATGCCGGGTAACAGGAACAGTGATCGGCTGACAAAACTGTGCTGACGCGCGCGGGTAAACCGGGCCTGCTGGTTGAGCGTCGAAGGTGAGAAGCTTGAGGAAGATAGGCGGTCGCAGCAGAGAATGCAGCGGAGAGATCACAGTGCGGGACGCGGTACCGAGGCAGAATCAAGTCGAGGGCGGGAAAACCGTAAACACGTCTGCCTCCGGGGGCGCCGTTTCATTTAAAGCTCTATTGGTCGGCGATCTGACACACGAACCGATACGATTCACTCCCTTGCAAATTTGCCCGATGGGGCAGATCTGCGTGTTGGGCAACCACGATCGCGGCACTGTGGACGAGCACGGATGGCGTATTGGGTAAGCAATCGGCGGTTATACTCAGCCGCCCACGTGGGGGCGTGGTTACCTGTCAATCGCCCAATGCCAAATGAGAGTCAGCCAAGACACCAGAGGCTTGAATTGAGAAATGACGTTGATAATTAATCCACTGGCGAGAGCGGCCGCCGACCGCGCGGGGGATCGCCCAACGCCGCTGAGAGCAATCAGAGAATGAGTGGATCCACGGAGAAGCGACAATCTTGTGCATGCACTCAGCTACTAGCAGTATATCGTCCAACGTCGCGCGGCAACGGTCGCCCAGCACGCACGTGTACCCAAACATGCAGCCCCGGGTTTCAAACGCCGCCGGTCCGGTACGAGCACTTACGGTAGCCATCTTGCAGTGTCTTCGAATTTCCAGTGGGTGGGGTGCCAAGCGCCTCAGGCTTATCAGAACGATGGCGCGTCCGGCCCGCATCGTCGAACAAACATTGAAATTGCCGCAGTTTTCTGGAAAAGCGCCCCACCGTCCACGAGCCAGTCGCCGACGCCTTGGAGCCCCTCTCGCACGTGGTCTGCCCTCCGATCGAGCCCCATCGAATCGCAAGACGCCGCGCCGACGACATTGAGGCACTCGATCGCCCGAAAATGCCGTTCCCCGCGAATCCGAATCCAGGGTAGGTGGTTGATCTAGGTAGGCAGACGCCGTAATCACGACTGCGCCAAAATTTTTGGAGGTTGCAATGTCCCAATATGGATTCTGGGTCGGTCGCCAAGCACGCTGAATGACGCAGGTGCATGTGCACGTGCAGACAACGAGGGGTGTGCTACTCGGAAGGCTGAGGGACTGGAACGCCGTTACGTTTACCAAGTCCTAGTCCATGTTGAGCATCAACGGTTTATAAATATCCCGACGATCCAGGATGGTGAAGCGCAGCGACAGCGGCGGCCGGGCTGTCGTCGAAGACAGATGAGACGGGCTCCGTCCGCGTCGGGATTGGCGCCGCGTTTGATTTGCCGCCTTGGACGTCGAAAGCTAGGGCCTGCCCTGGCGTAGCGTGAGGCTAAACGCGTCACTACAGCGACAGGCCACGAGACGTGGCCTCGTCGTTGGCGCGGTAGCGTGGAAGGTAGGAGATCGGCGGTCCGAAGGCTGCCCGGGGCAAACAAAGCACAGAGCGGAAATGATAGCGATGCTGCATTGGCGCGTAGATGGCCAGCGGAGAGGAGGCTAGATCGAGAATGACGAGCTCGATGCTCCAATGCAAATTGGACTTGCGATCGGAGGCCCGTGTTTCAACGGAAGCACGACTGGGAGGGTGGATTCTTCTCCTCCAAGACCTTGCCACCGGTTTCCAGTGGTAGTCGGCCGCTGAAACGCTAGAGCAACAGCAGAACGTATCAGAGTTTGTCATTGAAACACACAGTAACTGGGAATTGTTAATCCCCGACAAACGAGCTGTATTGGTCATATTCGCTACTGCGGTTGGTGTCGCCCGCAGAGATGAAATTAGACCTAAAACACCAGCAGCAGAAGCCCCAAACGGAAACATGGATGGTCCACCGGCCACAGTGTAGCTCCACCAGCGATCGATGACTTTTTTTATTCAACGATGATCTGTGTGGAAGCTTCACTAGAAGGGAGATAAGCGCTTTGCTGTTTTGCGAAGCGAAAACGGGGACGCACATCGTCAACGGGACACTTGAATTCAAGAACCCCGGGTCGTCAAATCAGTCTCGTACTGGACTACACCACTAGCAGTCAAGTATTTCTGTTGAGGGTCCCCTTTTCAGTGGTTGGCCCGAGGACCGCCGGCGGGATGAAGTGAAGGAGTTTGGTCCGAATTCCTGCACTCGATCAATAGTGAATTCTGGATTTGGAGCGACCAACAATTGTAATACCCAAAGGCTAACAGGGAAGAGCTTGGGTACAGTCGCTTTCGGAGTCGTATATTCCCTCCGAGGTCGGAGGTTTGCGCTTTCGGCGCATATCGATGTATGGTTGCCGCACAGCTTGTAGTACTGGTAGCCCGACACAGATTCGTTCTGAATACTCTTTCTGCCGTATGCGCCAGTGGAGCGCCTACCCCAATGTCCAGCATCATAAGACCAAAAACCAGTAGGGGCCGTAGGGTGGCCTAGCCTGAGTTTTTCGCGATAAGGTGGTATGACCGGAATCCTGACAAACGCGGATCCCGAATCTATATGCTGTTCAGGAGCAATTTGCCGACCTGACGGAGGCGCATAGTAAGCTAAGGGCAGGTAGTAGAGAAGGTCAGTCGCGAAGGACCGATGCCCATTGGACAGTGCACATGGCCGTCAGGAGCGACTCCGGAACGGAAGGTGCCTGCGTATGTCGGTGAGGGGGCGCAGTAGCGAAGTAAAGGTGCTCAACGGGTAACAAAGTGTCCACAGCAGTGGAAAGCAAGGATTTCCAGGGACGCGGAGAAGTCGGGGAAGAGTCCGGTTTTCCCCGGATTCGCCCAGGGGTAGGCTCAAGTTGGGGTTTTCTTGAGATGGGATTGAGAAGCGTCGAAGCACAGCAGCCGTCGCTGTTCTGGGTGTGGCGGCAGAGAGGAAGTTAGCGCTGTCAATGCCACGTCATTTGTTGACCATTTGATCGGGAATCATCGGATTTGATCGAGAGCACGTGCGGCCGGAGTTACTTATCACTGATCAGACTTGTATCAGACGGCCACGTCTTCTTCTCTCCCGTCAAATCCCCGCGCATCGAACGAGACGTCGGGCGTCTTCAGAGTGCCCGCGGTGGTTAGTGAGCGTCAATCTTCGAGGTGGCAGAAAGCTGTCGCGGAGAAGCGCCACGTGGCCGCCAAGTGGCCGCCATCGATCATGATGTCTGCTGCCTGCAGGCGTCTAGGAATAGTTTTTCCCTCACGAACGGATGGTATATGAGCGCGCTGATCATATCCGCAGCGTGCAACGTGCGCGGACATGCTCTTCTTCCTTCCCCTCCATGTCCTCCTCAGGCTTTCCACCGTCCCCGTAGCCACTGCTGCGGCTGACTCATCCCTCGGCTCCAAGGCCCAGTCGCTCGCCGCACTGACGCTTCCGCCGCAGCAGCCTTCGTTTTCAACGTTCTCTCTCGAGCTGCTGCTGCCCCCCGCCTACCCAGTTCTTGCCACACCAATCAACCTCCCGCCCCCATGCGAGTCCGCGCTCCCGCCTTCATCGAGCGCAGAGTGCTTCGCATCCAGCATGGAGGCGCTCAACGTGACGTTTGAGGACTGCGGCACGCCTTACACGATCTGCCGTTGTGGTGACGCGGAGATGACCATGGATACAGCTATTCGGCGGCTCGGGCAGGTCCCCGTCGGACTGCGGCGGTATGTCGCTACCGTTCTCGCGCTGGCGGAGGGCACCGGCGAGGCACGGGCGTATACTGTAGAGAGTGGGGACATACACTTCTTTGGCGAGTGTGAGCTGGATACGTGGGTCCATGAGGTGCGTTCCTAGCACCGCTGTATCTGGCTCGGTGTTGAACCCCCCCCACTAGTCAACCCATGCGTACGACTTCGCCAACCCCAACGCATGGCAGTCTTCCGCGGAGGGGTGGGCTCAGGCCATCGATGCTGACACCTGCGTGCCGGACCTGTATTCCCAGACCAACATAATCGAGGTGTGTTTTTTTACTTTCATTCCTGGGATTTTCCTCAGGCTGGTAGCTTGCTTCATTGCTGAACCATGCGCGCACAGGACTTCGCCCAACTCTCTGTTATCATGATTTACACCCTATTACACAGCGGCTCGCTCCCTCCGGGCTTCTCCGCCGGCTGTATGCAGCATCAGCTCAACTTCATGTCTGCCCTCGACGCATATGTGCCCGGCGTGCTTTTCGGAAACAACTGCAACATTATTGACAACGGGCCAACCGCACGGTGAGAAGATCTGCTCAGAGAATAGGAAAAGCTTCTGACATACAAACAGGCATACCGAGTCTCCAGCGACGCTTGACCCTTCCCGCACTTTTACAACGTTCCCGGTGCCGAAACAGCCCAGCCTGAGCAGCCTCCAAGATATGCCAACGGGAATAATCAACAGTGGAGGTGGAGCCGATACCAACGGTGTGATCCCGGCTAGCGGTGGCTTAGGGTGGACTACAATTTACTGTTTGGGTGCATTGATCTGGCTACTGTAGTGATGTAAGAATTAAGTGAGAAGGGTCGGTCACGAGTCGATAGTATGAATACTGACATTGGGCAAATAGTGTAGTTGGTTTATCACGCTCGCTTTGCATGGTTGATTAGCTGTCGTGCCTGCGAGAGGTGCTGGGTTCAATTCCCAGTTTGTCCATCCTTTTGCAAGCAGTGCAACCAATTCCTCATCCCTGCTTTCTGCCTTTTTACCTTCTAGACATCATGGACCAGAGACCTGTTCCCTTATGCTTTATACATCTAATAGGGAATATGTAGAGGACAGTCTTATCCTGATCTATCTTTTTTTTTAGAAGTGTTTTTGGTATAGCACAGTCCAGCCACCATAGTTGTCTGGTGTGTACCTTCTAGTTGTTTCCAATGGCATCTCCGGTCCAGCCCTCCATCTCGCCCGCACAATCACCGATCCGTCAACGCCTTCCCAACGGTCGCGCTGGGACCTTGCCTGCGATGCCGCCCAAGCCTTCAGTGCCCGACAGCGGCAGCTACGGACAAGCAGTATATAGTCAGCTACCTAGCAGGCGGACCCTTAGAGTTTCTTCTCTTTGGATCCTCCCCTGCTAGAACCTTGATCTCAGGCCTCCGGGGTTGCCCTTACAATAGATAGCTTGAAAGTGAAAGAACTAAAGTAGTATATGCGTTGGCAATTTATAAAATAAATAAGTACTATAATATTATATCTAATCATCTCTACTCCTTAATTGAAGCTGACTTCTGAAGTTTTTCTTATAATTAGTTAGTATGTAATTTTGCTTTATGAATCTTTCTTTCTTACTTTTTATATTTAAAAAGATAAAACAGAGACTCAACTTGGGTATCATACTGTAAAAACTCTCAACAAGGTGTATTCTCCCTCTCTCCCACTTCCACTAGACATTATAAAATAAAAGTTTCCTGGTGATTAAAGAGACAGTTTAGTGTCAGTATATTATCAAAGAATGAAGGCTCTTCTTGTGCACCTGCTGTGCACCGGGCTTGCGATTTGCATTTGCATCGGGATTGGCGACAGCCAAGACAGCGCTGATTTCATCTCTTTGATAACATTAGTAAAACATGAACAATGATATCGCTGAGTGGTTGCACACCTGGGAACCTGGACACCTCGTATGGCCAACTTCTCCTTCACTTTTCGTGCACCCCAGCGTCCAAGTGGATCTTCTTCAGTTACAGTAAGAATTGCAGCAGTCTTTTCAACTGCTGTCAGTCCCGAGCGGCGGACAGTCCGAAGGCCGGACTCCTTGATGATTCGCTCAACACTTTGAACACTAATATCCATTAGGTGAGTTATGGTTCAAATAAGTGTGGTGGCATACGATATAACAATATGATACTTTTCTTGAAGACGGGCCGGGATGTGCTTTTGGAATACTTTATCGTCAAGTAGACCTTGAATGAGTGCTGGAAGCTCTAGGTGATCATCAACTGATGTTGATGATACATCAGTTCACAGTGGCAAAGCGTATCAAGGATGAACTCACGAATTTTTGAGTCGCGATGGCCATTGCCATTGAATTTACTAGTTGCCACAGACGCTGGCATGATAGAATGATATTTCAGAGTAGGTACACTAGGCTATTTATAAGGCATCAGCGGCTTGAGCTGGCTCAGCTCGGATCAAAGCACGGGTCCAACTGAACCTTCCAAGCACCTGGCGGTTCTCGGACACCGTAGGCAGTAATTCGCCCAGTCAAGGTGTCTGCAGAGGCAACTCGGCTAGGAACCCCATACTACAAGGATGGAGAGTTTCTTCCATTGGAAGTGATTGATGTGGACAATATCAGCTGTCTTGTTGCACGTGTGCCTGACGGGGCTAGACGGTGGGCCTTGTGTGAGCGTTCTGATGCTATGGGTGTAGCTACAGATAGTGCAGAATAATATTTTGGACTTTATATTTCCCATAAGTGGATGTTTGGTGTGTTGTTGTTTATGTTTGATGGTGTTGGTGACATGATGTCACACTTTGAGGATCTTTGATCATCAACCATGTGATCTTGGATTTAGCTATTTTTCTATGTTTGTCTTGGTTGCAGCAGGCATATACTGTGTCTGGAGCCCCGACCTTACCCGCTATGTGCCAGTTGTGTGTAGTGTTTTGGGTTTATTTCCCATTTTCACACATGCTCTTGGCCACCGCATATTACTGTGGTGCCTCCAGACATTCTGATAGTACAAGCGGGCAGCTCTGACTGTGTCCACCGTCGTATAGAACTCGGTGAAGTGAGTGCATTTGCCAAGAGTGTCGATGACTATCATGACCACGTCATACCCATGAGCCTCGGGGAGCTTGACAATGAAGTCCACCATGACAGTGTGCCAGTGTTCGGGGGGGACTTCGGTCGGGTATAGTTCCCTGTGCGGTAACCTTCGGAGGGCCTTAGTATGGCAGCACAGGTCACAGGTCGCGACATAACACCCGATATGGTGGGACATTTGCGGCCACCAGCAGTTGCGCTAAACCAGTTCTTGGGTCTTGAACCGCCTGGCGTGCTGGGGCAGATTGTTGTGAAAGAACCGCCCCTATTGCATGATCCGAGCTGTCCGCTTCAAGTCGGAAAGGCCGAGAGTCGTCCGGGATCGCTAAGACGGGTTCTGAGACAACCGGGTCCTTGATAGGAGGCGGCTTTGGCGTCTTCCCAGGTCCACTTCTGGTCTTTCTTGGTAAGCGCAAAGAGAGGCTGTGCAAGGGCTGAGAAATCCTGGATGAACCTGCGGTAGAAGTTAGCAAACCCCAGGAACTGCTGGACGTCCTTTTTATTTTCGGGCGGGGGCCAAGCGGAGACTCCGGTGACCTTAACGGGGTCCATTTCGACGTGGTTATGCGAGATAATGACCCCCAAGTACTCGATTGACGATTTCTCGAAGTCGCACTTCTCCTTGCGAAGGTACAACTTGTGCATTCGGAGTCGCCGAAGGACCTCCTGGACGATTTCGCAGTGTTTGCGGAGGTCTGAGTGCGTGATGAGGATGTTCTCAAGGTAGATCATAACCTCCCCCGAGAGGATGAGGTCCTGGAAAATGTCATTCATCATCATGGACGAGGGTTGGGGTGGGTCAGAGCATCCGAGGGGGCACCGGTCGGATGCGCCTCGGATGTGTTCGGACAGTCCGAAGGAGGCCGAAGCGGGGGTTCCCCTGACAAGGGTAACTTTTTCCTTGCTCAAAGCCACCCTTCAAGTTTTGAGTTTAGATAATGTTTCTTCTCAACCTTAGGGTCCCTTGGCAATAGAGTTTAGTCATTGCCTTACTAATAATCATTATTGCGCCTATACTGTATCAATTTATGCAATTTGGCAGTCACATGTCACCCCGGAGCTCTGGTGCCAAAATATTTCGGCATGAGCAGTATCTGTACAGTATTTTAATTTTTTTTGAACACTTCATCACATCCTATAGGGCTGTGCCCAACAATTCCTTTTGTTAGTCATAACTCATATGAGTCAGGTAAAACTTTGCCCTAGACACAGCCCTCAAAGGCAATTTTCTGATCAAAGTTCCCCAGTGGGGAAAGCACAACAAACATGTTACATATGCACCATAGGGGTGAGGAAATAATTACATTAGCATAGTATATGATAAAGACATTACTCCGAATCTTACAATTCTCTTTTTTGGGAGAATCTTTGCTTAATTCTTTTGGGAAACCACAAACACCAATACCAAGCCTGCAAGGTGGGAGGATGAGTAGCTGAATGACAATTCTTTTTGTTAGTCATGACTCATATGAGTTAGGTAAAACTTTGCCCTAGACACAGCCCTCAGAGGCAATTTTTCCGATTAAAGTTCCCCAGTGGGGAAGGCCCAACAAACATGTTACATATGCACCATGGGGGTGAGGAAATAATTACATTAGCATAGTATATAATAAAGACATTGCTCAGAATCTTACAATTCTCTTTCTTTTATCTTTGCTTTTTGGGAGAATTTTTGCTTAATTCTTTTGGGAAACCATAAATACCAAGCCTGCAGGGTGGGCAGATCAAAGGGAGGATGAGTAGCTGAATGTTATACTGGCCCATTTCATTCAATTCAGTGGGCCTATGACCTGTCATCTCTGATGTTTGTCAGTCCTTCCTCATTTGGGAATTTCGGCACTGGCAAATTACCTTTTTGGGCCAAACCTTGCCCTCAGTGTGTAGCTAAAAAAAAATCATCAAAATAAGGTGTGTGATGTGTGACTGTCAAATTGGATGAAATATGCCAGTATCTCCTGTTGTATAACCGATGTAATGTCATAATGCAGACACCTGAGCATGATTGAGATAGTACAGTATGAAAGTTGGCCGATTAACTGTAGCCTTTATTTAGGACTTTACCTCCCTGTCGCGCTGTCTTCAGTAGTTCAGACGGTGACATCATTCTCCATCCATCACTGGTCGTTCTATCAATCAATCACGCGAACACCCGCGCGATCTCGGTATGATCGCGAGCTTCCGTCGATCAGCGATCCCGCGTCAAGTCAAGATCGGATGATGTCCGTCCTGGACTCCGCCTTTGCAGTCGTTGTCCCTTTCGCCACTGCTGAGGAGGCATTTTTCTTCTGACTGGGATGTATACAGGTATCTTGCGGACACGGACAGCGGCGCTGGTTGGCAGGCCGACACGGGGACGACGGAGGACAGCCGCATGCAGATGTCCGTCAGTCAACTGCACGCGCAGATCAGCTGCTGTCGCTGCTCCGTGATAAGAGCCACCCTCGCGCTTCGTGGCCCACCCTTCCGCGCTATACCCCCCACCCATCCCCCCGCCCCCAGCACGATGTCGTACGCTGGCACATACACCGACTCGGACACGCTGCCGAGCCCCACGCTCCCCGCCTTCGAGCACCAGCGGCTGGTCCGCTCCGTGCGCAAGATCCGCGCGGTCCTCGGGGAGGAGCCCACGGTCGCGCTGTCCTCCGGGTCCGAGTCCGACACGCCGGACGTCGCCTCGCTGTCCGCCGCGAGCGCCAAGGCCGTGCTCAGCCTGTACAGCAACGCCCCGGCCG